CCCACCATCCACTCTACCAATATGACAAGACTTACAAGTAGTTCTTCATCTCATTCTTTATTTGCATGGTATGTGACTGCCTCTACATGAAGTTGAGTTTAAGAGGGGTTTGGATTTCAACAGTGGTTCTCAACCTTCCTAATGCCGCGTTCCTTTAATACAGTTCTTCATGTTGTGATGACCCCCAACCATAACATTATTTTTGTTGCTACTTCATAACTGTAATTTTGCTACTGTTATGAATCGTAATGTAAATATCTGATATGCAGGATGTATTTAGGCGACCCCTAAAGGTGTCGCGACCCACAGGTTGAGAACCGCTGGTTTAGAACATTCCTTTAAGCTGTACAGTATATGGAGTTTGTGGTAATTAAGTGTAGTAATAATTATTGTTTTAAAATACAATCACTAAAAGGTCTATGCCAGTTATGTTTTATACATAATATACTCTCTGTTTTTTTATCATACAGAATTTGTGTTTCCCGTGTCCATTACTTATTTTTTATATCCTCTGTTCTAATATGAGGGATTTTTTTCTATCTTGTGATCTTAAATAAGAAAGCAAGTGCACAAGCAAAAGATATTTAATATGTAAAAGAAACTCTGAAAACCACAATTTCAATATAGATAGGTCAAAGAAGACAGCAGAGTATTGGGAAAAAAGCAAAAGAAAAACTCTCTGTAAATGGGTAACTAATAGTTACTGATAGTCACATTAAATGGTATGATTTCCAAATGATGTCAGCACAGTACCTCTTTTAATTCAAGCCTTTTTCTACTCCATGAAAAACAGGAGAGGATAAAAATAATGGGACTATAATACCCATTAAATGAGAAAATTATATAAGGGACTTAAAAAAAATCAACCAATTATTTAACTTTTTTTTTTTTTTTAGAGAATAGGTAAAATAGCCCTGGCTGGTGTGGCTCAGTTGATTGGCATTGTCCATGCACCAAAAGTTGCCAATTTGATTCCCAGTCAGGGTACATGCCCAGGTTGCAGGCTCAATCCCTGGTAGGAGATGTGCAGGAGGCAGCTGGTAGATGTTTTGCTCTCACATTGATGTTCCTCTCTCTCGCCCTCTGCCTTCCTCTCTAAAAATCAATTTTTAAATCTTTTAAAAAGAAACAGGTAAAATACCATTATATTCATCTAAGATATGTAGTGCCACACAAAAGATGAAATGTAATTCCAAATATGAACTTGTGAAAAGTAAATTGCTAATTATATTCATGGTAGGTCTTTCCTTTCATTATTTTTCTCTTTTCATACTTTCAGTTTTTCAGTATTATAGTGTGTGGGGTTTTTTCCACATCCTACTTTATTTTCCAATTCTGTTTCCATTGGTCCTGTTTCTCTTACCACTGAGCTCTTCCATTGGATATTTTCATTCATATCTTCTTTTTTACTAAACATTTACCAATCCATGATCCAACTCTAAAGTTGAATTGGTTAAGTCAAAATTCGTAATGTACCAAAATGTTCAAATTTAACTTTAAAAGCATGTATATTGATACCAAGATTGGATACTTCTGCTAAATAACATAGGAATATATATGTCACAGTAAAGCCAATCTTCTACAAGTCTCTATATCATATACTTATTTTTAAACTGATAACAATTCTTACTTTTGGATTTAAAGGCAAAAATAATACACATATACAAAATACAACCTAAGGGCTTTATTAAAATATGTGTTTAATGAACGTATGTCAGTTTGGCTCTTATATGTTTAAGAAACAGTTCTCAGGCATTTTTTTATATATTAAGTAAAGGGCTATTCAAAATCTTAATGCAGGTGGTCTTTAATCTATGGTTCATGCACAAAACTATATTTAAATGCAACTGCTTTTCTTTAATTCTGATTTGTATTATTTTATGCATTTAAAAACATTAGCCTGAGAGGGGTTTGTAGGACAAACCAGACTGCCAAAGAACCCCTTATCACAAAACAAGGTTTAGAATTGCTGATTCTTATATATTTATGAGAGTTTACTACAATAAAAATGTATCAGAATATAGTTGTTTATTGCATGCATAATAATGTTAATATTGAAACTATATGTTTCAATTTAATTACTCGCCATTTTCAAACTTAGAAACCCTCTAAAGCTCAATATATAATTAAAAACTTAGCAGAAATAAGTATATTATATGAATACTATACTTCATAAATTATAATAGGGATATGGATATAAACTAAAATTCATAGTCCAAAAGGTAAATGTAGCTTATAAATTAAAGATACTCCACTCAACAGAGTGTATTTAATATTTGATATTATAGTCACTTCCTCTATTTCTAATCATAATAAAATATGAGGATTCCCCGTTTAAAAGGATATATTTTGCAGAGAAAGTCCAATGTATCAGATAATTAAGATTTTATCTTGTTTGTCTCCTCCTTTAGTTAGCATATAAAACTGGTTTAAAAGTAGATTTCCTCTTGTAACTCAATTTAGTAAAGAAATTACATGGACTAATGACAATGTATTGAACAATGACTGCACTAATTCAATTTTGGCCTAAGAAACAGAGATATAATAGGGGAAAATGTGGGGGAGGGAGGAAGATTAGTACCACAAATACTATCTTCCAGGGAGCATAAATCAGTGTAAGTTAGGAATTTCCTTAAAGTGACCTGGTCTCAGAATTTATTTGGTAGTCATAAGAGATATTTGTGGCAGTTAAGATATATTTAGAATTTCATTTATTTTGCTTTAGCCTAGTTTCAAATGTTTAACCAATTTATTGAGCTTGTCTATTTACTGTAAATTGCATCCATAGGAAGCTAATCTTTAATTAAGATTAATTAATTTAAATGTTCAATTTAATTCTTATGGTTATTAAGTTTTTACTAGTAAACATCATGTTTAAGAGAATTAGTCTAATTTTAAAAGCTATATAATATGTAAAGTGCACGCATAGGAACAATAGAATATATGCAAAAAAGAGTGTTGAAATAGTTATCTCTGAGTAATAATTTTTTAAATTTTTCTTTCTTGTGAATTCCTATAATTCTAAATTTCCAAAATGTATATTGTTTTTATCATGAGAAAAAAATACAATAAATGTTATTTGTGTGTGTGCTTGTATGACTTTTATTTTATGTATCACTGTTACTATTAGAATGCTTTCTGCTATAAGTAATAGAAATGTCAGACTAGAAGTGGCTATTTTTTCATTCATTTTACAGGAAATCTAGAAGTAAGCATGTAGAGTTGGTAATTCAGAGCTTTGAGTAATTTTTTTTTATTGTTTCTACTAGGCTTTACTTTAGTGTTTAGAAGTTAGTTGTTGCCAATTGGGAGCCCCAAAGGCAGAAAGAAAAGGTGGCTTCTTATTATGCATCTCACTTTCCCAGAACTTCAGCACTTCCTCCTAAATTGGCTATAATTGTAACACATGTTACAATAACTAATAACTTGCAAAGGAGAAGGGGATTACCCTAAACAGCTTAAAGGTATGCTTTATCTTGTGGAGGTAGTGTTCAATTTCCTTGAACATTTAGCCATCTGATAACTGAAAATAATTGTATTTCTTTTGAGAGAGAGAGAGAGAGAGAGAGAGAGAGAGAGAGAGAGAGAGAGAGAAAGAGAGAGAGAGAGAGCAGAAGGGAAATGTTTTGGGGTCAGAAGCCAGCAGTAGCTGCCACAATCACCAATTAACTTCTCAAAATAAACTGAGACGATATATACCACAAAGTTTAAATAGCACATAATTTAAATACAAGCATAAAGACTAAATACAGTTCTTGGAATATAGTAATTGTACAATCAATGTAGCTGTAAGGGAAAAGAACAGATTTGGTTTTGATTTTTTTACAATCTAAATCTAAACATTTTAAACTCTAGTAGTTGGAATCTTCACTCAATGAATAGAGGGTAACTTCTGCCCAACTATTGACTTTTTTGGAAACTCTTGGTCTCTGTCTTTCATCTATTTTATAATTAGCTCATTGGGTAAGAAATTTATATAACTCTTTACAATTCTATCATTTCAAATTTAGAGAATAACTGTCCAATCTATATATATAAAAGCCTAAGTGACCGTTATGACCAGAACGACCGGTCAACCAGTCACTGTGAAATGCACTGACCACCAGGGGGCAGACGCTCAACACAGGAGCTGTCCCCTGGTGGTCAGTGCACTCCCACAACCAACCTCCCATGACCAGCCAACCTCCCATGGTCCGTCCCCCTGGCCAGCAGGATCACCGGCCAGGCCTAGGGTCCCCACCTGTGCACGAATTTGTGCACTGGGCCTCTAGTAAACTAATAATTAATGTGTGTGTGTGTGTGTGTGTGTGTGTGTGTGTACATTGATAGCACAGGGGCAACATAAATGAAGGAAAGGAGAGAGTGAATCTTTGAGAGATCTGACTGGAGAAGGGAATTAAGCTGGGAAACCACAAAATTAAGCCAACATATTTTTAAACACTACACACACACACACACACACACACACACACGAAAAGAAAAAATAGAAAAGGGAGCTCTCTATTAAGTACTTAAATCAAACAATAAAATGTACTTAACTGTTCCTAATGAAGTTTGGAAAATTTTGCTGAAACACATGAGAAAGGAAAAATGAATTTGGACTAAGAAAATTAAAATCTCCTTTGCCATTTATCAGCTATAGATAACAGACAAAGAAGCCAGCTGTAAAGTTAACAGAAAATAATATTTCTCTCAAGAACATGCTATAGTGTTAACAACCACCCCCCAACTTGGAGAAACTATTGCTTTTTCACTTACAGATAACCCTTTTCTATATAATAATGGATTGTTGAAAAAAAAACTTGCTCTTTGAAATCCTTTCATTAAGAAGGAAATATCCCACTCTTGGCTAGAAAATCTAAGTCACTTTGACACAATGAAACAGCCTCTACTTCCAACCCAGGGGCAGTCAGAGAAGGGGTTTGTAGAAACAATATGTTTCCGGACTAAAGGGGTCTGTTTGCCTGCCCGCATCAAAGCCAGAGAAGACACAAACAAGATTTGTAGCAAAGAAAGTAAGGGTTTATTTTAAGTGGCCCATGTCCAGAGTCACAGGTCAGCTAATTCTCAAAGACCTGGCTCTCCGATGGCATCACGGAATGGGTTATACAGATGATAAGTCATTAATTTTGGTGACTAGGAGAGTTAGGGTCATGTTTCCACTGATTGGTCATTGCTAGGGTAGGGGGTATTTGATCAGTGCATCTAGTCCTAATGTCAGTCATAGCATTGCTTTATCTGTTTTCTCTCGGATGTGGTCAGTGGGATTGTTCTGGAGCCGAAACACAGCTGAGGCCTACATGTTATCTCTATTTTGACCAAAATCCATCTCTGAGTTCAACAGACCTGAGGCTTTGTTCCTAAGATTACTTGATGCTGGTCAGAACCTCATTGTCCTGAGGGCTTAATGATTTAGGGAGTAGTCCTGCAAGGGAGAAGGAGGCAGGTGAATCAGGGTACTGGATTAAGCCAGTTCAAAAGAAAGGAGAAAGATAATATTAAACAAATGAAGTTTCTACTGAATTGCAAATACACACCTATTTAAACTTTTTAGTTTTCAATAAAACAGCACCCTGGGTCCATGTTGCAGTCCAGACATAATGTAGACCCCTTTACATACAGCCTTGCTTTCTTTTGAACCTATCGAAACATTTTCAAACTTCACCTCAATTTCTCCTAAACTCAACACTACCCAAAATTCCTATAATAAACTTATCTTTCCCTATGTTTGATAAGGCACTTCATGGTTCTTCTGGAATATGGGCTTCCTCCTTGTAATGGGCCAGAAACCTGACTTTCTTGAAATATACCAGTAGTTTTATTCCCCAAAGGCCTAAGCTTATTGGACTAGGAAGTCTGCCTCACGCTAAAAGTTCAGGAAATTCATTTTAATTTCACATAAAAATGAGCAACAAAAAAAGTCCCATGCAAAGTTATTATAAGAAAAACAAGAATAAGGAGCATAACATCATCATTACAGGTAATGCAAGCATGCCTGAAAGATGTACCACCAAATAGATCAAACCTTAAGTTACTGCTTTGAAACCACCTAAATAAGATTAAGAAAATCATACAAAATATTAAAAAAATATATATTTAGAATTAGAAAATCTCAGTTAATTAACTCAATGAGAAGATCCTTTAACAGTGTATACATATATCAAATCATCACATTGTACACTTTAAATATCTTTGTTTTGTCAATTACACCTTAAGAAAACTGGGAGAGGGGTTAGAAAGACTCAAAAATGAGGTGACAGAAAATCAGGAAAATTAGTTACACAGAATAAACTAAAAGGAACACAAAGCTAATAAGCACAAAAGATTGATTTTTTTTCTGTAAAACTCTGCACCAAAACTTCGGTCGATGCTTCTCCAGTCATTTTGGTTGTCTGACGCTTTCTCCACTAATTCTTTAGGAAGGACTCATAGGAACAATGGTCTCATTAAATGTTGATGTCATATCAAGTGTTGATAATAGCTTATACCCTTTGTACATGAGGGTTGGTTTTGCTGGATATTAAGTCCTTGACCACACTTTTTCCCCTTGAATATCCTAAATGTCATTTTATTTTCTTCTGGCAAAAAAGATTCATTGTCAAAGTCTGATAATATTTCAATTTTCTTTTCCATTTTGATGTCACATTTAATGTGACAAAACATTAAAATCTATTAAATCTGGGTATCTGGTATACTGTATGTTTGAAATAATTTACACTATATTTCACCAAATCAAAGATGACTTCAATTATAAGAGCACCATTGTTTTCTGTATTTTTAAAAAAGAAAAAAACACATTCTAATTTCAGGGATGTTAACATGTCAAGAAATGTGGGTGTTAGGTGAAATATACTATATTATGTTTCTAAATACAAAAACCATAAACCATAAATTTATTAGTTCAGAGCTCTGCAGGTCAAAACTGGGGGCACAGCATAGCTGGGTTCTCTGCCCGAAGTCTTCCAAGGTTGAAATCAAGGTATCAGCTGTGTTTTGGTCTGAAGCTTAGGGGTTTTCTTCCAAGCTCACATAGGTTATTGACCAAATTTCGTTCCTTGCAATGAAATAGGCCGTTATCCCCATTTTCTTCTTGGCTGTTAGTTGGAAGCCACTCTCAGGAATTAGAGGCCATTCCCATTTGTTTCTAGGTGGCCCCTTTCCTCTTCAAAGCCAGCAAAGTAGAATCTCTCTCACATCAAGTTGCCCCTCACACTTTGAATCTCTTTCTTCAGGAAAAGCTCAGCCCCTTTTTAAAGGTAGACAGGCAATATATAAGTAAACAAATACATATACACCAGAAAGTGATAAATGCTAAAAATAAATAAAATAAAATAAAAAGTTTATGCTTGCATTTCCCTCTGTCTAGAATATTCTTCTGCTAGAATATCTGGCAGGGCTCACATACATTAGATTTGGGTTCAAATTTCACTTTCTCAAATAGACCCTCTATGACTATCTAAAATTGTCTTCCTCCTCCCCTCCAAGTCTCTTTCTCACTCCTCACATTTTTTTCTTCATTATGTTTACTTTTCTGAAATTATTTTTTCATTTATTTTCCATTTTTTTGGCTTTTCACAATGAGATTGTTGAATTCAGGGATCACTGTATCTCTATCACCTTATCATTGTCTAATTATTAGGTCCTAAAGTTTAATGGGCATTCAATTTTTAGAAAGAAAAAAAGGGAAATTAGAAGGAAATACAGAAATTGGCATTATCTGTGGAGTGGGCCAAATATATTTATAATTTACTTTAGAATAAAAAGCCAGAGAGATAAACCTAGTGCTAGAGCAGAACCTTGATAAAATGGGACATAGACAAATTTGATTTCAGTTGTTCTGTTGAAAGGTACATAACTGGACTGAGAAACCTGAATGATGCCATAGTTGAGCAGCATGTTTTCAGGTAATTGGAGATGTACAATTTTGAAAAGAGAACGGAGAGGCATAAAGAGTAATGCGGTTTTGTCTGGACCCTCACTCCCCACTAGACAGGAAAAAGTTCTAATTAAGTAAAAATATCACACATTGCAAGAGATGACGTAATATATATAAAGACACTATATGCCAATTTTAAAAATCCTGCAGATGTTTCTTAGAATGGAAGACAAACCCTAATGTTATTGTGTCCCACTCATCCTTGTTTTCCAAGAAAGGTGGAAGGGGAGTCAATGGAAAGAGAATTAGATGAACGGTTCTTAGACGTGTGTGACCAGCTCTTTGACCTTGACCGAGTCACCTACATTCCTAACTTCACCCAGAAGGTGAAGGGGGCAAACTGGATGACATACCGTAATGTTATTTATAGATCCAAAAGTCACATGATTCTACTAAACCTGTGGCAGTGCCTGGCATGTACTATACGCTCAAAATGATCTGTCAAACGTATAACGTCTTAAAATTGAATCCCAGGCTGGACATCTGGAGCTACCTATTATTAATCTTTGGTTATTTATAAAATTGGGAGGCGGGGGGGTTCCATTTCTCGCAACAAAACTCGAGAATCCGGATAGGCAGCCCCATCATTTCAGAGTCCCCGGAATCCTCAGTGCTTGGCTGGGGAGCCAGCGGTGCAGCGTCACTTGACTGTTTCGGTCCCACCAACGTCTGCGGAATCCGTATCGCAACATCGCCACCCACTGCAGCCACCTGCAGCCCAGCGCGCCCCGCGGCCACACCCAGACCGGAAGTCAGGACGCCCCGGGGGCTGACGGGAAGGCGCGGCCAGCCGCAAGCTCCGCAGGCCCGCCCCTCCGGTGACGTCATCGCCCGCCCCTTGACCCCCGCGGTGCCGCCCCCTTCCCTGCCTGCCTGTAGCCCGCGGCGCGGCGTTTCTCCGGAGGCGATGGAGGGATCCGAGCCTGTGGCCGCACCTCGCGGGGAACAGGCGTCCTGCTCTTCCTGGGGTGCCGCCAGGTGAGAGCACCCGTGTGGGCGCAGAAAGGCGAGGGGTGGCGGGCAGGACCCAGCGCCGGCTCTCTGCTTCTCCCCATCAGGCGGGCAGGGAGCGCTCTAGAGGCCGCGGGGCCGGGGCAGGACCGGCCTGGGAGGCGCGGGGGGACCCCCCGGGGTGGGTGTGGCGGCCCCGGCTCGGGCCTTCGAGGCTCCCGGCTTCGCCGAGGAGAAAGTCCACTCTCCCCCTTTCAACGTTTCCTCAGTTCCGGTCGGGGTCTGCCATCCTCCTTCCTCGCAGTCCCCGGGCGGGAAGGTGGCGGAGGGCGGCTCCGGCCGGGAGTCCTGGCCCGGTCCGCTCCCCAGACCTGTTGCCTAACAACACATGCTGCCCTCCCGTCGGTAAAATCAAAACTAGGAGCTCCCCTGGGCGTCATCCTCCACCGCGAGCCTCCTTTTAAAACGATCACCTGAGGGAACTTGGTCATCATGAGTCAGTGACTGGACACCCCGAGGACTTCTGTGGACTACAGTTAAAAAAAAAAAATCAGGGAAAAGCCCGTGTAGTTCCTGCTTCAATGATCTCAGTTAATAAAGCGGAGTTTTGCGTCCCGCCACCGCCGGGCACAATCTGCCCACGGTAGACGTGGTGGACGTGAACCCTTGGCCTTTTCCCGAGCTTCAGGCCGAGGGATGCTTCTGACACCAGGGTATTGCCCGGCTTTGCCCGCACTGCCAGAGGCACTCGGGGGACATTGTGCAACGCTAACAGAAACTCCCCCCTTTTAAAGCATCTTTGATGGCCATATCGATCTTACTACAAAAGTGACTTGTGAACCATCCCAGCAAGGCAGGGCTTTCTGAACACTGCCTAAGTGACAGGGCTGATTAGACTGTAGGGCTTCTCACTTTCGCTAGAGAAAGTGTCCTAAGGATGAGAAAACTGTGTAATAGGACATTTTATGTTCATATTTTGTTGCAAGGCCAAAACAGGTTATTACAGTGGATGTGTAAAGAGCACAGCTATTTTCTGGCTTGCTTTCGTAATTGCAATCAGGAATATTTCTCATAGTTATCCATTTAATTAAGTAGAAGCTGATAGCATTTAATGGTACCAAGCAATGTTTGGTAAGATTAACTATATTTACAAACTAGAGGCCTGCAGTGGGGGTCCCTCAGCCTGGCCTGTGGCCTCTCACAATCCGGGACCCCACCCGGCAGGGGAAGGACCACGGGGAGGGCTCCAGGGCGTGTCCTGTCTTGCTCAGTCCCCATCTTCCGGACCCCAGCAGCAAGCTAACCTACCGGTGGAGCGTCTGCCCCTTGTTGGTCAGTGCACATCATAGCAACTGGTCAAATGGTTGGACACTTAACATATTAGGCTTTTATATATATACTAGGGGCACCTTGAAAGGAATGGTGGGCCATGAGGCTGCTGTGGGCACAGGGGCAGGTCTTGGCCCATCCTCCACGCCCCCGCTCAGCCCCTCCCACTGTGGCCCCCAGTTCCCTGTCTGCCAGCAGCCCCACTCCCATGCGCTGACGGTACCGGCCCCCCTCTCACCTGCTGACTGAGTGGAGTGATTGGGGCCGGTGCCAACAGCAGGTGCGATTGGGGCCGGGGCCATCAATGGGTGTGAGCAGCAGCTGATGCCCTGATTGCTCCTCATGAGCAGAGGGAGGTAGAGAAGCCCTCAGGGGTGATCGGGACGGTATCAGGCGCCAGCAGTGGGTATGAGAGGCAGCTCTGGCACCGGCAGCGGGTGAGAGTGGAGCCATTGCCGGCAGCAGTTGAGAGAGGCAGCTTCCAGCCCTGAGCAGGGGGAAGTGGAGCAGGGGGAGGTAGAGAAGCGTGCACCCCTGGTGGTCAGCGCACATCATAGTGACTGGTTGTTCAGTTGTTCCACTGTTTGGTCTATTTGCATATTAGCCTTTTATTATATAGGATATGTAGATAGATCCTTTGACTTATATATCAATACCAGGCCTTAAAAAAAATGAGTTCTAAAACTGAACTTTCTTGCTACCACATTGTTTTTAGAATCCTGTATTTGATCACTAAAGCTTCCCAGAATATGGAATGGATTATACTTTTATTAAGATGATACTGATCTTAGCTGTCACAGTGGCTCAAGCCCAAATGCCTCAGGCTGGTTCCCTCTGCCAGGGAACCATCTCTATTCCCAGTGCTTATCCTATTATCATTTTCTTTGCATGCCATGCTTTAAAAAAATTGGGAGGAGCTATGGTAAATGATACATTACCATAAGTATGTCTTGTCACACTGGTATGTTTAACTTTTAAAATTTACTCAACAGATATTTTTGAGTGCTCTCTTTATTCCTACTCCGTAAGAGGTAATAGGCAGTATAGCCTGGTGCCCAAGAGCTAGACTGCTTAGGTTCAGCTTCTGGCTCTGCCATTTGCCTGCTATAACTTTAGGAAAGTTATTTAAGTCATCCTTAGTTTTGTGGTGTTTTGTTTTATTCCCTCTGTTCAATGAAGATGATAATAGTGCCTATTTCATAAAGTTGTTGATAGGATTAACTGAGTTAGTACAGCTAAAGCGTTTAAAAGGGTGTGGACACAGTGTTAACTATCATTAAATGCCAGCTCTTTTAGGTATTTGGAATGCAGTAGTGACTTCTTAATGGATCATACATTCCATAGAGGAAAGCAGACAATAAACAGTTAATGATAAGTGATTTGAAGAAAATATAGCAGGTTAGTGAAGTACGGAGTGACCTAAGGAGAAGGGGAGCCATTTCATTGATAGGGTGATCAGGAATGGTCTGCATAATATTTGTGAGGAAGTATTCAGAAACAATATAGCCAGTGTAAAAATTAAAGTGATAGCAGGCTTGGCTTTTTGAGGAACAGCAAGTAGGCCAGCGAGGCTGAAGATAGTGAGCAAGAGGGAGAGTTGTGGGAGTTGAGATTGGAGAACTAATTGGGAGACCTTCGAAGTACTTCAGATAAAATATGATGGTCGTTTGGCCTGAGATTATACAGATTGAAATAGTGAGAAGTGATCAGATTTGAGATATCCTTTGAAGGAAGAGCTTAACCAATGAAGAAAATGAGGGACAAATGAAAAAGGTCCCTAGATTTTTTGGCCTGAGCAGGTAAATGGTAGGTAGTACCAGAAACTGAATTGGGACGCACTGGGGAAGAATAGATTAAACAGGGGGAATTGAATTCTGTTTGGGGCTTATTATATTTGTGATACTAATTGGACATCAGACTAGAGATATTGTTCTGGAAGATGTATAAAATCTAGAGGTCAGAGGAGAGATCAAACACAGAGAAAGAAGTTTAGATATCATCAGTATATGGTAAATTCCATGGATTGTATGCGATTATCTAGGGAAACTGTATATTAGAGAAGGTTTGTGGGACACTACAACAAAACTGCTAACATATAGATCCAAAAGAAATTATGCATCAGTGATAAAACAACCATGGGCTGTAATTTTGCAGTATACACAGAAAGAATATGCAATCGGTGAATTTAATTTTGGTGAATTTAATTTTGACCTATTTTTTAAATCCAAGTAAAGTGGTAGATAATAAAATATATATCTGATTTGTAAAAGCTCCTTTAGTATCTGGTGAATCTGATACCATGTATAATTGAATGTTAATTACAGGATGTGAATATTGAATAATCGTGCTTGCCCTTATAGATTTTGTTTGTTTTTTTCAGTACAAATACACATTTGCCCATGATGTCAACAGAATCTGTGGAGATTGATGATGCATTATACAGGTAAGAACCTTATGTAAACTGAAACTTTTTTCCCCATTCTTTGTTCTCAACTAATGAAGTAGTCTCCTTGAGGTTACCATTAGGCCTATGCCGAGTTTTGTAAATATATCTTAAAATTAGATTTTCTGCAACTTCTTTTTTTAATTATATGTATTCTGAAAGCTAGAATAATATTTAAATCTCAGTTGCTTTAGGGCAAGCATGTCAAACTCGCGGTCCACAACGAATATTTTTGTGGCCCAGCCAACATAACGGTATATAAGAAATGTTTTAATAAAAATTTCATAACTTAATTTTTACAATATCCTGTTATACATAATTATTAATAACAAACTACAACGTTCGCTAATGACTGATTACTATAATCATGTTGCATTCATTTCCCTTATGAGCCTTTTACACACAGGCGCACCATTTCTTTCCACTAATACTAGCAGTGAATATTTTAGCAGCCGATTGCCACGTCATCAGTCTTGTAATGATTTGTTTGGTATGTGCAATAGGAAATTTTTCGCTTTCGGAGAACAAGAAAAATAGGTTTATTTGCATTACACTTATTGTGTAGTTATTCAGTGTCTGGTAAGTTAGTGTGCAAGAAAAATATTAACTTCTATTAAAATATTCTATTATTTTATGTTAACGATTACTCATTTATTTCAGCCTTTTGTATTCAACATGTCTTTATCGAAATAAACCTTTATTTCTATGAAAATTAAAATGTTTTTTTGCGGCCCACATAAACTTAAACCTTTATGTGGCCTGTGTTAGCCTTTGAGTTTGACAAGCTTGCTTTAGACGATCTGACTAAGAATGATCCTGCGATCCACCACAAAATATACCTCTTGTTTTTGGACAGGAATATATATTTATGTTCTTGGTAGTACAGGAGTCTCATGAAAAATAATCCATTCCACTTTATTTACTTATACAGTAGCATCTAAAGAATATTTATGTCAGTATAATCTCATTAATAACTTTGCACTCTATAAATAATGGAGAACTATTATGTGATTGAAGAGCTGTGATTTTAATGAAATTTAGTGAGACTTTTTTTACCATACTTTTTTAGGAAATCAAAATAGTTTTTTCAAAATTAAAGTTAAATTAAAAACACATTTGTTGCTTATTA